AATGAGGAGAGGCTTAGGAACCTCCAGGACATCTTTAAACGTTCCAACATTCAAATTATAGGGGTACCAGAAGGGGAAAAGGCACAGCCACCAGTGGAAAACTTATTTGAACAAATAATAAAGGAGAACTTCCCCAATCTGGCAAAGGAAATAGACTTCCAGGAAAGCCAGGAAGCTCAGAGAGTCCCAAAGAAGTTGGACCCAAGAAGGAACACACCAAGGCACATCATCATTACATTAGCCAAGATTAAAATGAAGGAGAGAATCCTAGAAGCAGCAAGAGATAAGGGGACAGTCACCTACAAAGGAGTTCCCATCAGACTGTCAGCTGATTTCTCAAAAGAGACCTTACAGGCAAGAAGGGGCTGAAAAGAGGTATTCCAAATCATGAAATCCAAAGATCTACATCCAAGATTGATCTATCCAGCAAAGTTTTCATTTAGAATGGAAGGACAGATAAAATGCTTCTCAGAAAAGATCAAATTCAAGGAGTTCATCATCACCAAGCCCTTATTATATGAAATGTGAAAGGGACTTACCTAAGAAAAAGAAGATAAAAAAGATGAACAGTGAAAGGACAGCAAACTCACAATTATTAAGAACCACACCTAAAACAAAAGCAAACTAAGAGGATAGCTAGATCAGGAGCAGAACCATAGAAATGAAGATCACATGGAGGGTTAGCAACAGGGGAGTGGGAGAAGGAGAAGGGGGGAGAAGGTACAGAAAATAAGCAGCATAGATGGTAGGTAGAAAATAGATAGGAGGAGGGCAAGATTAGTATGGGAAATATAGAATCTAAAGAACTTGAGACACGCGGTCATAAACTAAAGGGGGGAATCGTGGGGGAGGTGTGTGCAGGGTGGAGGGGAATGAAGGGGGGAATAGAACAACTCTAATGGCATAATCAATAAAATATATTTTTAAAAAACAAACAAACAAACAAACAAAAAAAGAAAGATATCCCACATTCATGCACTGAAGACTTAATATTTTCAAATGGGCAGTATAACCCAAAGAAGCCTGCAGATTCAGCACAACCCTATAAAATATCAATGCTTTTTTTACAGTAATAGATACAGGTTGCAAAAACACTTTTTAAAAAATAGACACCCAATTATTGAGTTCAAACTTACTAAAAAAGCTACAGTATTCAAAGCAGTGTGGTACTCACATAAAGATAGACATATGAATCAGTGGAGAAGAACAAAGAACCCAGAAGTAAAGCCTTTAAGATATGGTCAAATGATTTTTAATGTGGTTGTCACAAAAATTCATATTACATATTCACATACAAAAGAATAAACTTGGACCTTTAATTTATACCATATGTGAAAATTAATGCAAAATGGGTCCTAGACTTAATATAAGATCTTAAACTATAAAACTCCTAGGAAAAAACAGGGTAATTTACATGGAATTTGGCAACAATTTCATAGATATAATACAAAACACATAGGAAGAAAGAAAAAATAGATAAACTGTACTTCATCTAAATAAAAATTTTTGTGCATCAAAAAACTCAATTAACAATGTTAAAGGCATCCCATAGAATAAGAGAAAATATTTGCAAATCATATATCTAGTTAAGGATTAATATCTGGTATATATAAAGGACTTGTATATCTCAACAATTCAATTTTTTTAAAAAAAATGGGCACAGGATGTGCATAAACATATCTTCCAAGAGGAAATGTAACTGTCTAATAAGTATATGGAGACATGTGCAGTATCACTAATCATTAGAGAAATAAAAAATAAAAGTTGATATTGAGATACCACTTTAACCCATTAAAATAGCTATTAGAAATAAACACAAAAAATAAATGTTAGTGAGGAATGGAGAAACTGTAATTCTTGGGCACTGATGGCGGGAATGAAAAGAAGTAAAAAACAGTATAAGAATTCCTCAAGAACTAAACAGAATTGCTGTGTGATCCAGCAGTTTTACCAAAAGGTATATAATAAAAACATTTGAAACGAGGACCTGAACATAAATTTGTGCATTAATGATAATAGCAACATTATTTATAATGGCTAAAATGTAGAAATAAATCAAATGTCCATTGACAAATAATAGACAAATAACACACATATATTATCTTATTATGACATATATATCAAATAACATTATATCATAGTATTTATTACCATAAATACTATGATATAAACAGCAAATGGAGCACTGCTCGGCCTCAAAGAGGAAAGATATTTTGATACAAGCAATGACGTGGATTAATTTGAAAACATAATTTGAAATAAGTCAGGCTCAAAAGGACAAATATGGTACAATTCCACTTATATGAGGTATCTTAGATATTGAAATTTATAGAAACAGAAAGTAGAATAGTGATTACCAGGGGCCATGGGAGGGGTCACTGGGAAGTTATAGTTTGATGTATACAGAGTTTCTGTTTGGAATGATGAAAATATTCTGGAGAAATAGAGTGAAGATGGTTGCACAAAAATGTGAACATACTTGTGTCTCTGAACTGTACACTTAAAAATGGCTAAAGTGGTAAATTTTATGTTATGCATGTTTTAACATAAAAATAGTATTTTATATTCAGTACTTTATATAAACTCATGTTGTAATAAATCAATAAACTCATGTTGTAAGAGAAGTGCAATTCATTCTTGAACAACTCAGAGCTAGAGGCACTAGTAGTTATCAGAGAGATGCAAATTAAAAACTCAATGATATTCCACTTCACACCAGTCAGAGTGGACATCATAAACAATCAACAAACAATAAGTGCTGGTAAGTTTGTGGAGAAAAGGGAACCCTAGTGCATTGTTGGGGAGAGTGCAGACTAGTGCAGCTACTATGGAAAACAGTGTGGAATTTTCTAAAAAACTAAAAAAGGAACTGCCTTTTGACCCAGCAATTCCACTGCTATGATTAAACCATAAGAATCCCAAAACAAATTAAAAAGAACCTATGCACCCCAGTATTCATTGCAGCACAATTTTACAGTAGCCAAATGCTGGAAACAACCTAGATACCCATCAGTGAATGAGTGGATCAAAAAACTGTGGTACATTTACACAATGGAATACTACACAGCAGAAAGAAGGAAGGACCTCCTACCCTTTGAAACAGCTTGGATGGATCTGGAAAACACAATGCTAAGTGAAATAATCGCAGCAGTGAAAGACAAATAGCATATGATCTCACCTGTAAGTGGAACCTAATCAACAAAGCAAACAAGCAAGCAAAATATAGTCGGAGATATTGAAATAAAGAACAAACTGATAGTAACCAGAAGGGAGATGGGAGGGGATAATGGTGAAAAAGGGACAGGGTCACCAAGGAACATGTGTGAAGGACCTGTGGACAAAGCCAAAGGGAGGAAGGATGGAGGGTGGGAGGAGGGAAGGGTGGGGCGGGGAAAGTGGTGGCAGAAAATGGAGACAATTGGATCTGAACAACTATTACAAAAAGAAAAAAGAAAATTGGGTTCTATCTTTTGACTCCCCCAAAACCTAACTATAGTCAGCCCTTGGTGTCCAAAGAATATTGGTTTTAAAATCTCCATGGATACCAAAATCAATAGATGCTCAAGTTCCTTATATAAAATAGTATAGAAGAATGCATACCTTCATCCCTCCACATTTGCACTTTCCCAGCTATTCAAAAAGACTGTTTTCAACCCACCATTAGTTGAATCCACAGGTGGGAAAACCATGGAAATGGAGAACTGACTGTATTTATTTAAAACATCTGCATATGTGTAAATTCAAACCTGTGTTGTTTGAAGAGAGTTGTATGTATTATAATCCCCATCAGACAAGGGGATCCTGAAAAATTATGTATTAAATTCTTTAGTACATGAAGAATATACAATTTGAGTGAATATGCTTGTTTTCCATGGTTGAAATACTTGCAAAGTAAATTTCATAAAAAGAAACTTACTACAAAATGTTTTAAGTGATTCAGTTTGTGTAAGAGCTGGGGATGACAATTTTTCTTTTACTGTTTTTACTTCCTAATTTTAAAATGAATATTAGTAAAGTTAGGTTGTGAAAAAAAATTTAATATGACAAATATTTCTGTAATTATCAGGTAAAAATAATCTATTTTTAACATGTATACATGCATAGTGATTTAAACTAAAATGTGAAAAAAATGTGAGATTTCATTTATACCTGATTACAAACAAAACATAAAATTTTTACAAAAAAATCATTTTACAAAGATTATTACAAAAAAAATCTTGTGCTCCCAGGTCTTTGCCTTTATATTTTGCCCTTACCCTTGTTCTTCATTAAGTAATTTAATATATTATGTTTTCATTAGACTAGGCAGACTTTGTACCTTAAAATTGAGATGGGAGTATCATTTAAGCTTCAGTTTTTTGTGTATTTATGTATATATACATCAGTGACATAAATTTCACAGAGGAAAAATCTAGGAAGACAGAAATGTTGATGCATATTAATATGTATGTGGAATAATAAAATAAAATCAGATAATAGAATGAGATGTTCTTGTAAAAATATGGAGTAAGACTAGCTAGATAAGTGCATGCATGGGGCAGGGAGAGAGAGAGAGAGATCGAAGGTTCTGCAAATAGAGTAGTTACACCTCAGATATGCGCCTTCAATTAATTTTCTCTTAACTCTATGTGTTCTTATTTTCCTCACTAAAATGGACATGTATTATGCAACAGCTATTTTAAAGAAATTATATAAAAAGAATAATTCATGACATTAGAAGTATTATGTAATATAATTTAACAAAACACAGGAATGAACAATGATTTTTAAATCAGTAATATACATCATTTCTATGAAAAAAAGCCAATAAAATATTCATGGTGATATCATCTATGCACGAATGCAGATTAATTTTTGTTTTCAAGTTTTTTCTTTTAAAAATGTTCTGCTTTCTTATTTTTGAAATTGAATGTGCACTTAAATTATGAGGCAGATACTAAACAAGCATTTAAAATTAGAGCATAAATTAGAAAGTCATTTGGGAATGAAAGACGACATACCTGATTTTGACCACAAACAGTTCCATCTTTTACCCACATCTTTGCGGTGTTTTCATTACTTTGTGGATACTCCACTGAGACACAGATTTTTCCATTTACATTAGTATAAGTTATAGTGGCACTTGTAATAAAAATTATATTTTCTTGTTCATATTTACATATTAATTTTCCACACTGCAGATCTCTAAAATTTACCAATACATAAAAATCATTAGTCTTAAAAACATAGAACTATTAGAATAGCATCTAAAGCAAAGACTTAAATAAAGCATTGAAGTTTTGAAAAAGATGTATGCAATTAATTATGAAACACCAAAAAAACCCAGCCTTGCCTGTATTGTTAATAATAACTGAACATTTTAGTAATTATGAACTACTTCCTCATTAGCCTGAAAACTTTTTTTAGTGATTACTTCAGTTTTTTTTTTTTTTGAATTTTATTTATTTACCTTTAGAGGGGAAGGGAAGGAGAGAGGGAGAGAATATTCTTCTTGCGGCAGTTTTTTATTTTTAGACATAATCAATTTCTAGTTTACACTATCTTAAAAAAATTAGTAAAGTTTATCTAATTATCAGTCTTATTTGATTTCCTTTTTAGTTTTTTCTAAACATAATACTACTCTCAGCATTATGAATCTAGACTTTTGAGATCCACACTCCAGAAATATTATATGCAACAAATATTAATATAAAACTATATCACAGCAGCATTGTAGACCCCCCAAATCATAAAAGTAACTGGAAAATTTTAAAAGCATTAATAAGAAAGAAATAATAATACAACTTATGATGGATTTTCTAAGAGAAATAATGAAAGCCAGAAGATTATTGAATGACAGATTCAAAGCTGAAACTAGCTGTCTATTGTCTTCCCATTCTATATGCAGAGAAAATGTATTTCAGAATGAAATGTGGCATTTTCAAATAGTAATTCAGAAAAATTTTCACTAGCACTACTGGTGTAAAATGTAAACTGAGTTCTTCCCATTGTGGAATTGATCCTATGTGTAACTTTTATAAATATATTTATAGATGGCTTTAATATATATATAAATATATAGCTTTAATATGATTAAGAAGGTCTCTTTCCATTCTTAGTTATATGAGAATGTTTCTCATGGGTCATTGCTAGATTTTGTGATAAATCAGACAAAGAATAAAGAAAATGGTGTAGATAAATCTAAATTAAGGGACTGTAGGAGACAAATATATAGGTTAATATATAGGTTAAAATATATAAATATTTAGGCTCAAACAAGTAAAAAATTGGGCAAATTTGTCCAAACAACCATTTTAGGGCTATCAAAACTGATTAAAAGCAAACATCAAATTGAGAAGCATTTATTACAAGGTGCTATAAAATCAGGTGAGAACAGTGAGAGGCTGTGGTCTTCTTGCCTGTCTGCTTACATGGCCTCTCCTAGCTCAGTGACAGACCAACCAGAATTTAAGGGTAATCCTGGAAATGAGAGCTCCAAAAAGGGTGGTGATACGCTTTCTTCCCATCACATTCCGAGTTGACTGGAAGACTATGTGCTGAGGAGACTTGCGAAAGATAGATTTGGAAGTAACACCAAATAAAACTTAAAATTTGCCTCCATCTAAATGTGCTCCCCAATTCACAAACAGAGCCATCTCTCTCTCTCACACACATACTCTCTCTCTCACACACACAGAACACACAATGTCAAATGGCTTTAGTCATAAATTCTATACTAATTCTACACAAATTGTTTAGGAAGTAATAAGGGTAAAACACTTTCCAACTCATTCGGTGAGGCAAGTATTTTCCCTGATATCAAACACAAGAAAAGTCATCATATCATAATAAACATAGATGCATAAAACTTTAACCAATATTAGCACACCAAATCTACAATTATATAAAAGTGATTACATGCTATGACTAAGTAGAAATTAACCAGGAATGCAGGATTAAGTTAATATCTAACAGATTCTAATTTGTAGAGTATAAAGAAAAAATGTATAATCACAGAAAAAGCATTCCATAAAATCCAGTAATAATTCATGGTACACATTCTCATCAAACCAGAAATAAAAAGGAAGTTCCTCAGCCTGATAGACCTGTATGTGTAACCCACTAGTATCACCATGGTTCATGGTTCATGACTATCACTCTTTAATCAGACATAAGACAAACATTTCTATTTTCTTACTTCTATACAATGGGACAAAGATTTCTTAGGTATTGTATCAAAGCCATGATCTGGAAAAATATAAATGAATAAACTGAACTTTATCAAAATTAAAATATTTTTCTCTCCAAAAGAGGTCATTATGGAAAGAACAGCCAAAAGAAGATATTTATAATTCATATATTGATAAAGATTATATTTGAAATACATAAACTACATTTATAATTCAATAGAAACAACAGAACCTAATTAAAAAATGGACTACAGATCTCCCAAGAGATTTCACCAAAGAAGGTATGCAAGTGCTTAGTAATCACATGAAAGAGTAGTCATTGCATAAATCAAGGTAAACACAAATTAAAACCAGAACCACATACATTTTTATCAAGGCACATACACAAAAAAGCAAAAAGCAAGCAAGAAAAAAAGTTGAAAATGTAGAATAGCTGGAACTCTGGAACTCTCATGTATTATTAATGGAAATGTAAAATGGTACAGTCATTCTGGAAAATATTATATTTGGGCAATAAAAACATATACTTGCCAAATGACCCAGAAATTCCACTTCTAAGTATACATCCAAGTGAAATTTAAAAAAAATGTATGTGGTAAACATGGCTTGCTTCCTTGAACAACCATATCAAAATTACAACTAAATTATAGAACAACCATCACTCATAATCAGAAGATATCAAGTTGAATGGTAGTCTGACAACTACAGAATTAAAGAAACAGCATCCATCTAGACTGGTAGGAGGGGCGAAAACGTGGAACAGACTGGCCTTGCATCCATGTGTGATGAATGAAAATTCAGGAGGGATATCTCAGGAGTGAGCAGTCCCAGCTCCATATACAGCCCCCAAGCACAGGGTTCCAGTGCCAGGAAGATAAGTACCTATAACTTATGACTGCAAAAACCATCAGGGATTGAGTTAGTGGAAGAAATTTCTCCAGTCCCAAGCAGTTCCTCTTAAAGAACCCACATACAAACTTACTCCGTCTAATTCCCTCTGAGCTCCAGCACCAGGGCAGCAGCTTGAAGGGCACCACCAGTGGCACACAGGGAGGAACTGAAGTGTCTGGCATCAAGGTGACAGCTGGGAGACAACTTTCTCCTAGACAGAAAGATAGACAGAGCTGGCAGGCAGGTGGCATATCTGAGACCCCATCAACCTGGCTAACACTATTTTCTATACCCCGAAGATCCCTTGAGGCTCCACTCCACCTAACTTACAGTGGTTACCAGTGGCTTTTTCATGTAAGTGGTTGGTCTTGGCTCTTGTTTCACAACTTCCTAAATCCTTTCAAACAAGCAATAGCCTGCCTCAGTGAGTCCCCAGTCCCTGCACCTCTTGTTAAGAGGCCCCAGGCATGGCACTGGAAGCAGCCAGCCTAGATTCAAGCATGGCTTTGCCTGGGAACCTCCAAACCCAGCACAAGTAGCAGCCATCTCAGACTGCTGTATAGCTCAGGCAGGATGGCCCCAGACAAAACACAGGTTGGGGCTGACCTTGGCCTGCACCAATCAAGAAAGCTCAGGGCCTGTGCACCCAGGGGACAGTTTCAGACCATATCAGAGCACTACCACCCTGCCACTGCACAGCTGATCCTCCACAGAAGGAGGAGGTGGATGGTCAGTGGTCACAGTCAGTCCTTGCAACTGACTGTCCTGAGTAAATCCCTCCCATTTACATGCCAACGGCAACCAAAGCTAGATTATAAGAGGAGAGTATACTCATCCCACACAAAGGGCGCACTTTGAATACCCAGCTTGGGTGAAAGGGGAGGTGGTGCCACTGGACCCTACAGGGCACCTACTATATTAGGACAGCTAACCAGACATGTAGGCATAGCAGCTGTACCTAATACATGAAAACAAACACGGGGAGGCTGCCAAAATGGGGAGACAAAGAAACGAGGCCCAAATGAAAGGACAGATCATAACTCCAGAAAATGAACTAAACAAAATGGAGATAAGCAGTCTATCAAATGCAGAGTGCAAAACACTGGTTATAAAATTGCTCAAGAAATTTAGCGAGTACCTAAACAGCATAAGAAAAGATCGAATTAGAAGTGAAAGATACACTAATTGAAAAAAGAACTATTTACAGGGAAACAACAGGAGACTGAATGAAGCCAAGAACCAAATCATAGTTTAGAACATAAGGAAGCAAACAACAACCATTCAGAGCAACAAGAAGAAAAAAGAATTTAAAAAATGGGGATAATATGAACCACCTCTGGTACAACCACATTGTTCCAATATTCACATTATAGAGGTGCCAAAAGGAGAAGAGAAAGAGCAAAAAATTAGAAATCTATTTTTAAAAATAATGAAAGAAAACTTCCCTAATTTGGTGATGGAAATACACATGCAAGTCCAGGAAGCACAGAGAGTCTCAAACAAGATGGAAGCAAAGAAGCCCACTCATCATAATTACAATGCCAAAAATTAAAGATAAAGAGACAATCTTAAAAGCAGCAAGGGAAAAGAAGCTAGTTCCTACAGGGAAGTACTGTCAGCTGATTTCTTAAAAGAAAGTGGAGCGTCATCCAGTGAGAGAGCTCCCAGCATGAAAGTTCACAAACCACTGTTGATACATCTGACCAGTTACAGCACTTTCTCCATACACTGTACTTTTGTGTGTGTCTGTGTTTCAGTTGTGTTTTTACCTTTCCTGAAATAAAAAAGTATAATATGCCAAAAATGCTGCTTATTTTCTTCCATCATCAATATTAAAATGGCTCCACAAAAATTAATCAATTTTGATGTTTTTTAAATGCACACTGATATGACAGCTGTTACAATACAATCTAACACAATTGTTTGTAATGAATTTCAAGAAAACTAAGTGTCAATAGAGCCAACTTATGGAAAAAAAACAAATGAACTTTTTGGTCAACCCAATATATTCATCAATTGAAAACTCAGAATTGTTAAGATGACAACTCAGTGCATGCACTCAGAGACCACACCAATGCAAGTACAAGGGATCAACTCTACTGAGGAAGGTCTATGAATTTACCAGTTCCAATTTCATGATTTTAATATTATACTACAGACAAATGTAATAAAATATTACCATTAGGGGAAATCAACTAAAGGGTACATGGGTCCTCTGTATTATATATAGATTATTTTTGCAACTTCTGGTGATTCTATAATTAGTTCAGAATAAAAAGATACAAAGATGAAATGAAGACTAAACTATTCCAAATATAATGGAAAAATTTGAAGAGATTCATCACATAGGAGGATACACACATTGATAAGAAAACTTGGAAAGTGCTCAAAATAATTATTAATTAGATAAATGCAAATTAAAACAAAAATAACTTACAACTATAATGGCTAAAATAAAACAGACTGACAATACCGAGCAGTACCACATTGTGGAGAAACAAGGATTCTTGGATTGTGCTAGTGTGGACATAAAACTGCACAGTCACTTTGGAAAACAACTTGTCAGTTTATCAAAAATGGTTCATATGAACTTATATGACTCAGCAATAATAATCCTACCTATCTATCTACCTGAACTAACAGCAAGGCCTTGAAATTATACAAGCTGACTTGCATTCAGTGCCAGACCATGGTGCTTACCTATTGAATATAGGAAATTACAAGAAGATTAACCTAAGGTAAAGTCCTTCTGTGACCATGGTGGATCATGTCTCAACATAAGGAGACGAGAAATACACATTGTCCAAGCAATAAAATGATCAAACATCCCTCTCATCCAGCTTATAGGAGTGACTGTTTTTTGTTACCAATTACAACTTCACCTTCACTCTAGTTTTCCTTCTTCATATATAAGATTTATTAAGATACATGATCACAGTATCCCCTTCACTTTCTGAAGCTATCCAGCTCAGAGAAAAGATGTGCTTCCAAAATCCCTGCTGAAAATCACTTAACACAAGCTCAAGTCCTATAACAAGTCTCTAAAACTCTGCAACTAAGATGTTTCACAGAATCTCAGAGTGTGAAGTCTCACTGTCTGCAAGAAGTAAGAAACCCAACTGGTTCAACTACAGTTTCATTCCTGATGGTCTTTGGCTAGAAGGCACTGACACAGAACTTGACCTAAAAATCATTTCTACAGTTAAGGAGTGGGTTGAAGTGAATTCCAATTAGGTTAGAATTCTAATCTAACACACACACACATACACACACATATACATGCACACACACACATGCACACACAGTGAAGGCTTTGGGATGTAAACAGAAAGGGAAGAATTATATAATAATTGAGCCTTAAGAATGGAAACTGCATATGAGATATTGTGTATTGTGGCTTTTTAAAATATTCTGAGAATACTTTCAATCTTCTTATCTTGAATAATCAAAAGACAGAATTTGAAGATGGGCCTAAATGTCAATTTTGTGACTGGAAATTAAGAGGCACTGAGTCATAAAATGTGCATGTAAACTTTACCCTTAACCCTGGCTGACCACTGAACTAAGCATGTACAGTGAGGACTCCAAGGAATTCATAAAATTCATCTGAGGAGATAAATAAATGAACACTGTTTTCAGCTGCTGTTATGCTAAATCTCTTCCATATCAAGATACATAGAATTTCATTCTGAAATGCATAAATGAATGCAATGTTTCCCTTGTATATTATTCATAGCATCTAATATAGAGTCAAAAATTGCTAGGCATAGGCAAGGAGCAAATAAATCACTAGATACCAATATCAAAATGATCCAGACATTATAATTATCAGAGAATTAATTTTTAGCAACTAATATGAAAATTGCCAGTGATTTAAAGGAGCATATAGTCACAATAGTTAGATGGTTTCCTTTAGTCAGTATATGCTGTATCAATTAGAAGCATACTTCTGTGTATTCTGGGTTTGAGCATATGAAAAAGCAACTTATAAATGTACTAAGATGTACTTTCTGGTGCGCATACTATGAGTCAGTCCCATTCTAAGTACTTTTCATAGATGATCGAAATTCCACACTGGCACCAGACTTAATGATGTTAGTAAAATTGTTATTTATGTTTTATATATAAGAACAGTAAAAGGTATACCCAGTGCAAAGCAGTGTAGTTGGGATTGGAGAGCATGATGTCTGGCTGCAGAGAACATGTCCTCAAACACAGTGCTTTACGACCCAGCCAGTAAAAATTCACGTGTTTTCATTTCACCACTATAGGAATGGTCATCCTTTATAATTAAAGTGACAGCAAGCAAAATAAAATTGGTCCTTATAACTAGTGGATAATTAATTTACTTATGTGTATGTTAAACAGTCTCTGGAAAGATATAAGGGGTAATTTGGATATGTGAGAAAAAAGAATTACAGATATTCTGTACGTCAGACATTTATAATTTGATTAAATACAGTCTTAACTTCATGGCCAGGTGATGCATAAACTCATCTGGTGGTACTTTCAAATTTAAGGCAGTAGACTTTCTCAGATATATTTTGTAAAACATACTTAGATTCACACTTCTTGTATCCTGAACCACTTGTACCACAGTTCCCAGATTCATCAGCCATAGAATTAAGGTGTTCAAAACACTCTGGAGGAGCCCCACTTATATCTGAAAAAGAAGTGTGGTTAGTAATAGTGAACTATATTAATTTAACATAATAACAAATGTAGTTAACATTTTAAAATAGATTAAGATTTATTGCACAAAATAAGATTATAACATATATTGAAAATAAAAACTAGGTTTAAGATCACATAAAACCACTTCAATAAAATATTTAGTTGAAAGCACTATGGTTACTAACCAGATACCTTAAATATAAATATGGTATGCAGTTTGTCTTCTAATTTTCAGTAAGTCTAGAATATATAAGTACTTAAGAAACTTTAAGAATAATTGACTTCTTGGTCAATTATCTGTGTTTGCATAAATATCTTTTCATGTCTAGCCACTTAGCTAATATCTTGTTTTTTTCCCTATAGATTCCTCAGATCAAAAATCTTGAAGCCAACATTGATTTATCGTCACATTCACTATCCAATCCATGAACAGAATGTGTGTAATTCTCATAAAATCCAACCTAATTAAAGAGCAGTTTACTTATCATAACCCCCCATCATTAGTTCTAATCTAGTTGAAGGATTGAATTAAAACTCTTGGAAAGATTTAACCACTGGATTGTCATGCTGAAAAAAAATGACACACCAGAAAAAGAGCCCCAGTAGACACATCAGGATTTCAGTTGAAACTCCTAGAGCTGGTAGTGAACTGAAAATATGCTGTTGATTTTGTTCAGAGGTCATCTGCAAACCTGGCATGGGTGAGAAGTCAAAATTGTAAGCTTAAGAAGAGAAGCAAGCAATTGCTGGTGGACATAAAATAAACCAAAGTTGGAGATCTTTCATAGTTAGAGTAACAAAACTAGAGACTCAGGGGGCTTCCACATATAGCCTAGTCCCTCCTCAAAGCCTGTTCTTGCTTCCAAACATATAAAAAGCAGAAGATTAAAATATAAAGAGATGACCTCCATAAAAGCAGTACAGATTTTTCTGCAGTTTCTGTGTGCATGCCAGGGAGAGGAGTCTGAGTAAACATACACCTCTCAGTTAAAAACCCTGGGGAGTTATGCCCTGGAAACAAGAGTGTGCTGGATGTAGACTGAGCCTCATCTGAATTCTAACCTTGACAAAGATCAGCTTCTGATTTAATTAATTAGCTCCCTAGTTCATGTACCTAACAGGAAAAAAAGGTGCATGATAGTAATATCTATACAAGAGAAGCACCCAGACTGAAGACAGGTCTTCTCAAAGACAAAAATTAAAGATGGAGACAGTAAAGAATTTTTAACAAGAAATGTGTCTTTATATCTAAAAAACATCAAGAAAGAATGTAAAAGAAAAGCATCTATCATTTTAAAACAATTGAGTAAGGGAACCATGGTATTTATACTAAAACACACATCTTAAAGGCTTACTATAGTTTTTTCAAGACCTCAGAGGGTGGGTGCTACCTTTGTGCTCTCACTGTGCCAAGCTCCAGAGTAGCAGTATCTTTCAGATGGTGCTCTGGGTTTCAGAGGGCGCTCCAGTCTGGGGGGGTTGCTGCCCAGGAGACACCTCTAAATCATCTGGCTCTAATGACTAGGGAGCGCTTACATTCCTGGTTGCCACAGGATAGTACTGATCAGAAAGATAGTTTTGGGCTGGCTACCACCCCCAGGGCACTAAATAGACAGACAGCAGACAGAAACACATGCTCCATCTCTCCATGTAACAGGGGCTGAGACCTCTTTGCTTGTACCGGAGATTTGACCTTTGGTGAAGGATCTGGTTTGGCATATATCCGGGAGCCTTCCAATGTTCTCTGCATTGAGGGAGGATAATGGACATGATCTTTGAGCTCTTCCTCTTCTTTGTCTCAGCTATCCAGTGTCTCCCAGAAAAGTGAATCACCCTCAAAATCACATAAGCCAACTCCTTAATTTTGATAGGTAGATAGATAATAGATAACTATACACACACATATTCATATATTGTTACATATACAAGAAAAGAAAATACAATAATTGTATTTCCTACAGATTTTGTTTCTCTGGGGAAATCCTGGCTAATATAGTTAGTAGGACAAAGAGACATGTGATATTTTAATTGGGAATATTCTTATCCCTCAGTGTCATGGTAGCCAAAAGCCATCAGCCTTACACCTAATGAAATGATGTAACCTAGTGTGAACTTCTGTAAAAGCTCAATATGCCTGGGTATGCACCATACCCCGGGTACATAGTTGATTTTTGCCAAAATTTCAGTAATGGCTAGAACAAATAAACAGGAGGTCAGTAAGGAAATACAAAATTAGAGCAACATTACAAATAAACCAGACATAATAGGTATCTATAGAACACTGTAACCAACAATACCAGAATACCTATTCTTCTCTATGCATTTGGATATTCTCCAAGACAGATCATATGTGAGGCCAAGAAAATCTAAATAAATTAAAAAGAATTAAAGCCATACAAATTATGTTCCCTGAATACAATGAAATTGAATTTAAATATCAATAATATAATATGTAAGAAAAATGCAAAAATGTGCAAGTTAAAGAACACACTCCTAAATAACAAAAGCACCAAAACAAATCTAATGGGAAACTAGAAAATACTTTGAGATGAATAAAAATGAAAACATGGCTTACAAAAATTCATGAGAAACTTTGAAAACAGTACTTACAAAGTTATAACTGTAAATATTTAAGTTAGGAAAGAATATTTAAAATCAATAACCTAGCATTCTACCTGAAGATACTGAAAAAAGGAAAATTCTAAACATAAGGCAAACAGAAGAAAAAAATAAAAGGGATTATAGCAGAAATAATAACACAGAGAATAGACAACTGATAAAGAATATCAATAAAAATAAAATTTGTTTTTTGAAAACATCAACAAAATTGGTAAATTTTCATTATTAAGCAGAAAAAAATACCCCACACTAGAAGCCTGAGTGTGAAAGTCTTCATTGATGATTTCCACAAAAATTCAAGCATTTAATTATGTGCATCACGGATTCTCCCAAAAAATGTGAGTAGGAAATACTTCTTGAATCACTCAATGAGACTTGATACTAAAACAACCCAAAGACATTTCAATAAAGAAAAATTTGAGACTATCCCTCACAAATTTAGATGTAAAAATCCTCAAGAAATCTATACTTTAATACCCCTATGGACATTTCATTTTTAAAAAAGCAAGCAAAATACTAATAAACTGAATTCTAGAGTATATAAAGAACATTATATACCATTACCAAGTGGGATTTAATCCTGAAATGGAAGAATGGTTTAAAACACACACACACACACACACACACACACACACACACACACACACACACACACACACAATCAATGTCTTACACCAAAATAGCAGAATGAAAGGAAAAAAACCCCTCGCTATGTAATCATGTTAATTGACCCAGAAAAAGCATTTCACAAAATTCAACACCTTTTAATGATAAAAACGCTCAGCTTACTAGTAGAAGGAAAGTACTGACTATAATAAAGACCATCTGTAGGAAACATACAATTGAAGTAATACTCAATGGTAAATGACTAAAAGGTTTTCCTCTATGATAAGGAACAAAACAGGGATGCCAGCTTTCATTCCTTCTATTCAACACAGTGTTGGAAGTCTTGATTGTCAGAGCAGTAGGCAAATAAAAGAAATAGTATACATCTAAACTGAAATAATACAAGTAAAATTATCTGTATTCACAGAAGCCATGATCTTTTATACATAAAAAACACCCTAAAGTGACAAAAACACACACAAATGTGTTAGAACTAATAAATTCAGCTAAGTTTTAAGACACAAAGTTAACATATAAAATCAGTTGCAATGAAAAACCTCAAAAAATAAAGTAATCAATTCCATTTTCCATAATATTCAAAAATTAAGTTTAAAATAGATTAAAGAGGTAAAAAAACCTGTGCAATAAAAGCCACAAAAGGTTGCTGAAATGAAAGAAGACAAATAAATGGGACACATCCCATGATTCTCTCTTAAAAGACTAAATATTAAAATGTCAATAGTACCTAGAGTGACCTAAAGCTTTAATGTAAACCTATCAAAATAACAACAATGTGTTTTTGCAGAAATGGGAAATCAATCCCAAAATTTATATGAAATCTCAAGGGACCTCAAATAGTGAAAACAATCTTGAAAATAGAAACCGAATATGAAGGTCTCAAGTTTCCTGATTTTAAAACTTACTGCAAAAGCTATAGTATTGAAAACAATGTGGTACTGGCATAAACACAGATATACAGAGATACTGAAATAAACTAATGCTTATATGGCCTAATAAGTTTTGAGAAAGGTGCCAAAACCATTCAATGGGGCAGGATAGTCTTTTAAATAATGGTGTTGAGAAAAGTAGATATCTATTTGCAAAAAAATGAAGTTGAATCTTTATATGACATATAAAAAGTAACTTAAATGGATTAGATACCTAAAATTAAGAGCTAAAACTATAAACTCTTAGAATAAAATATAGGGAAAAACTTTCTGACACTGGATTTGACATTCATTTCTTGAGTATGATGCCAAAAAGCACAGGCAAGAAAAGAAAATATAGATAAAAATTTTATCAAACTTTTGTGCATGAAAATCAACAGGGTAAAGTCAATTAATGGAATGGAAAAATATTTAAATGTATGTATCTAACACAGGGTTAATATATGAAATATACAAAGAACTTGTACAACTTAGCAATAACAAAAAAGCAACCCAATTAAAAATAAGCATAAGACTTAAATAGACATTTCTTCAAAGAAGATGTACAAATAGCCAATAAGCACATGAAAAGATGCTCAACATTACTAATCATTAGGAAAATGAAAATCAAAACCACAATGAGATACAATCTCATACTATTAAAGTAATGATGATCACAGAAACAGATTATAACTAGTGTTGGCAAGGATGTAGAGAAATTGAAATGTGCATGGTTGGTGGAGAGAATAAATTGTGCAGCTGCTATGGGAAACAGTGAGGTTGTTTTTCAAAAAAGTTAAAAGTATAATTAGCATACAACCCATCAACCACTTCTGGG